TGTCTTTGCACCTCTGCACCTGACTGGAACTGGATGGGTGGAACTGCCAGCATGGCAGTGGAAGATTGGACCATGCAATGGGCTGGTGGGTGTTGGGAGCAAGATCTTGAACTTTCAACTGAGTGGGGGAAACCGGGAAGCTTTCAGATTCGGGGTTTCCCAGTTGTGCCAACATGTCTCTCTTAATAAATTGGAACTTTGAGCAATACTTTGCCTTGGCCTCTGATTTATTTTTGAATGCTGTTTGGAACCCTGACCCCTGGCTTCATTGGGGTCAGACTGGATGACCTCGAAGGTTTCCCTTTGTGATTTTTCAATGGCGTACCTGCTGCCTGGAAGGTGATTTCGGTCCTGCCTTCTTTCTCAGAGACATCCCCGGGTTCCAGTGGCAAACGAGGCTGTCATTTTGGACGCTGTAGTTCTTATTTCCCAGCAACCAGTAAGTTTTCATTTTCCCTTTGCCCTCCAAAGGGAAAAAAAGAGAGACAGAGAGACAAACAGAGACAGAGGGAGAGAGAGAGAGGGAGAGGGAGGGGGAGAGAGAGAGAGGGAGAGGGAGAGGGAGAGAGAGAGAGAAGTATTCAGCCAAACAGACACAGAGCAGAAAACTAAATGGGTTTAGTTATGAAACACCTGGGAAAAGCATTTAAAAAATGTAAACTGAGAAGCTGCGGGTGAGGAGACTTCGAGGGATGAACAAAAATGTGGCTCTGGGTTTCCTCCCTCCCCCTCAAGGATGAGACATTTTATTCTATGCTGGTGTTATTTTTGTGTGCATTTTCCCTTGCTTTATACATGTGAGTGCATATCACATATGCAACCAGTAGGGAATGTTAGGAATATAATCTAACGGTTGGGTTGGCAATATATAAATCATCTAACAATGCTATACCTGTCTCTTTAAATCATACAGTAAAATGTGATTGGTTGCTGTTTTCCTCAATCGGCCATAAGAGGGAGCCAGAACAACTGTTAGCTCTCTCTGTTTCGTTAGATGCTGGGCTGATCTGATCTGAGTGTTTTGGAAGCTGGCTGTTAGAAAGTGCCGAGAGCTATTGTAAGTTTTGCAACTACAAGCAAACTTTGAGTACTGAACTGATTGTATGATTATTGGACTATGTTAATTGGATTATCCATTAACTGAAAGACATTGATGACTGACTGTCTTATCCGTGTATGACTTGGACTGTTTAAAGCCTATTTAAACTGCAGGGTCTCTGAATGCTGGTTT